CCAACTTCCAGGAGGTCCACTACAAGCCCCGAAGCCGTCACCAAACTACACCAAGATCTCCCCGATTACCCGAGTCTCGCCAGCGTCTGAAACACAGCCCCAGCGCGGCCTATCACTCCACTCCAGCCTCGATGAGCATCTGATAGCGCCTTGTTAAACGCTGTTCTCATATGTGCTTCCGTCGACCACTGCTGGAAAATGGCCATCGTCCACATCATGAGCGGCAGTGCGTTCGCCTGGAAAAAAGGGGTCCACATTCGGCACCTCTGCGAGCAGGAACTGCACTACCCTGCTCCTTCCTTTAGCTGGGCCAAAAAGGGTAGCTGCCGTCGTGGCTTGCTGCTTCTGGAGGGAGGTGTTGGACACCCTCACCACTCCCACCCCGTACAGCGCAGCGGGCGTGACCCCTCCTCTGAAAATTTGCTGAATCGGTTTATTCGAGAACTGGAACGCTCGATATCGTCGGATTCGCCCCCTGACTGACGATTCGCTTGTGTGCCACCTGCCTTCCCTTGTTTCTGGGCCGCGGGAGCATAATTACTTGAAGGCGAACTCTCGCATGGCATGCTGAAGAACTCGGCCTAGCTTGACATCTGAAGCCACCAGAATACACTTCTTTCTGGAAACCTCAAGCTCTAAAAATTCGAGACCACGACAAAACCTCAGCGTCTCGTCCAAAAGGCCTTCTTAACGTACCTCATGGGTCCCATGGCTTGGATAGGAATCAGGAATCATCGACCATGAGTGCTAAACCCAGCCTCGGCCATCGAATCAAAAAAACATCACACACACACGTCCTTCAGCACAATCTTCAAAAGCGCCGTGGCGAAAGAACATCCTGCTACGATGCTGCTGTTGACCTTGACAAGGAGGGAAAGGGCCTCGCCTACCTTCATGCAGCAATGCTCCTCCTCTTCCTCCTCCTCCTCCTCCTCCTCCGCCTCCTCCTTCCCCTCCTCCTCCTCCTCCTCATCCTCCTCCTCCTCCCTCTCCTACCTATGGTAGTGGTGATGGAACATCGGCCCATCAGAGGGGGGGCCAGCCGCACAGCACCAGCAGGCCCTTGACCCAGTCGCTCGTGAGCACGGCCACCGCGCCCTTTTCCTCCGGGCATCGTTTTTCACGGTGGCAAAAATGGTGGGGCTCGAGACCGGGATAGGAATGGTGGGGCTCGAGGTGGGGATGGGGACCGGGACAGGGATCGGTGGAACCCGATGCGGATCCTCCTGCGCCAGCTGCACCAGGCGCGCCAGTCCGACCCACCTCGCGATGTACAGGAAGAGCAGCAGCAGGGTCAGGCCGCAGAAGACCAGGAGGTACTCCGAGATCTCGTCCCCGTGCTCCACGCCGCCCAGGTTGGCCACCGCGTAGGCGATGAGGCCGAGCGTCGCCAGCAGCGCCAGGCTGAGCTTCACGCCCTGGCCCAGGAGCTCCTCGGGGGCGACGCGCCTCCTCTGAGGCGCAGCCAGGACGAGGATGACATCGGGCACGGAGACCTCGAGGAACTCTCAGGCCCGGCGGATCTGGGGGGGGCCTCGGGCGCGGCGGCCTCCTCAGAGCGTCCCAGGAACGCTCTGAGAGCGTTCTGCAACGCTCTGGAACGGATGTATTTGGAGGCCTGGAAATGGGCACCAACACCAAGACAGGGGGTTGCCTCCACAGGGGAACGATGATCCTAGATTTCGGTGTTGGTGGTAATATTTCGGTCACCTTGGAAGCCAGAATATTACCACCATCACCGAGATCGGGATCTTTTTCCCTCGGTGGAGGCACACCGACGATTTTCGTGTTGGTGTCAACCTCTAGTCCTGCGATGTATCCTCATCCCGGCCCCGTCCGATCCTCTGCAGAAAGCGGAGCCGCAGGAAGATGAAGGCGGCGATGACGGCGTTCGCGGCCGCCAGGGCGACCGGGGAGGACCACAGCACGAAGGCGGCCAGGGGGCGCGCCTCGAGCTCTTGCTCCACCGCCGTGCTCCACGCCGTGTGGCCGTCGCGGGTGGCGGGGACGAGCCACGTCAGCCACACGACGGCATCCAGGGCGGCCACTGCGAAGAACACGGGAGCGGTCATCTTGCAGTAAAGCTCCTCCTTGACTTGGGGGAAGAACGCTCGTCTGAGCAGGACAGTTGCAGCGACTGTGCTGATAATGCCAAGCATAAGCGGAACATACGGGAACATCGGCGTCAAAGAGAGTATGCCGACCAAGATCGCGACAGCCGCGACAGGGGTGCAAACCCAGAAAACAAAGTTGGACCGGCCCTGCCACCTCCACATGTCCAAAAGGTAAACCAGAAAGGAATAAAATGCCCCAACCGTGAAGGAGCACTGGTACAGCATCTCGCTGGTCAAATCTTCGTGCGGGTTCGCGAGGAAGTCGTAGACATCCACTCCGTGTTCGGTGACCTAGGGGGAAGGACAATATACGCCACCACAAAAAAACGTCTACCGGCCCAGATTGGGCCCAGACCCTCGAAATATGTTCAACACCGTGTGTTAAGCATTCAAATGTACATGATATGAAAATATATACCGCCGTGCTTTGTGCACGTGGGGGGCGTGTTAGAACTTGGGCCGGCACGGGGACGGAAAGAGCGCTTCAGACCTTGCCCGAGCTCATGGCAACGTTGACCCTTGGGAGCTTTGGCGTTGCTAGCTTATTCGCGTCACCGCTCGCTCTTTGGAGCCTTGGTGTGAGAAGGTTGTTCACGCCATCGCTCGCTATTGGAAGCCTTGGCGAGCAGAGTTTTCCACGTCACCGCTCGTCCCTGGGAGCCTTGGTGCGAAGAGTTGGTCACGTCACCGCTCGCTCCTGGGGGCCTGGGAATTAAGACTTGCTTGCGTCACCGCTCGTTGTTGGCAGCCGTGGCGTTGGGAGCAGTTGACATCATCGCTCGCTCTTTAAAGCTTTTACGTCACCGAATCGTTGCAAAAAAGCTGTCCAGTCACCTGGTGTCATTGGGAACCTTGGCGGGCGAACACCTCCAAAACAGCCCAGGAAAGCCGCCGCAAGCGGGTAGAAGGGGGGAGTCGAGATGATGAAGGAACTGATCATCAAGATGAAGTGGATGACCACGAGACGACGACGACGACGATCGACGACGACGGAAACGACAGCGACGACGAGTGAAACGGCGACGATCACGATGACGATCACGGCGACGATAATGATGATTGTGATGGTGCTGTTGATAGTGGTGCTGACGATGATAATGATGATTATGCGCTTCGTAAGATGGTGATGGTGACGATGGTGATGGTGATGACGGCAAAGATATGTGTGAATATGACGATGTTGATGATGTTGATGGTATGACCATGATCATCATGCTCACCACCACCGTCACCATTGCAATCACCATCACCACCACCGTCACCATCCCCGTCATCATCTTTATCCCCATTATCACCATCATCAGCAGCACCAGATCGTAATCATCATAGGGCTTGTCCGTTCAAACCGTCAGGCCCCGGAGACGGACGCGCGGCGCGCGCGCGGCGCCCCGCGGAGGATGATGGGCCGCCGCGCCCAAGCCGCGCGGCGCCCTCAGACGACCTCGCCCAACGAGGTCATCTGGACGGCCAAGCGGCCGCAGCAGCGCCGCAGGCCGGCCTGAACACGGCGCGGGAGGGGGGGGGGGGGCGAGAAGCTGCAAAGCATGTGCGGGCGCAAGCGGCAAGGAGAATGAAGAGACGCATTCCCCCGCACGCGGCGCCAGCGATCAGGCCCCGGAGGTGGGTGCACGGCGCGCGCGCGGCGCCCCGCGGAGGATGATGGGCCGCCGCGCCCAATCCGCGCGGCGCCCTCAGACGACCTCGCCCAACGAGGCAATCTGGACGGCCAGGTGGCCGTTGCAGCCATGCTCATGCTCAGCGCCCTTGCACAGCGACAAGGTTTCGGCGGGCGGCCGCAAGCTTGATGGGTCACGCAGCTGGGCCGGCATCCAGGCGGGCAGCGAGGAAGACATCCAGGACGAGCGGAACGCCCAGCGCCGCAAGCAAAAAGCACCACCCAGCACAGAAGCACACCCGAAAGGTGCGAGCGGCTCGGCGGGACGCAAATGCTGAAACACCTGCTCCAGGAGCCCCACCGTGGCCTTCTTCGAGCAGCGAGCCTGCTGCGTCGGAGAAGACCAACGGGTCTCGGGCGCCACAGTGGAAAGGACAGCGACGCCTCTGGATTGAGCTAGGAGGCAAAATGGAGGCCCAGCGACGCGCGGCCGCACGGGGCACCGCGCACCAGACCCGAGCGCTTTACGACCTCGCACGCGCAGCAGCGAAGGAACGGGGCCGACGCACGAGGCGGGCGCGGCCGAAGGCGAAACAAACGCGCGAAGAAAGAACACGCGCGATCCGCGGACGGGGGCTGCAACGCCCCACGCAGGCCCGGCCCGAATCAGACCGCCACACGCCGCGGCGGCAACTGCCAGGACAGATGGGAGCGACACCGCAAGCCTCCAGCTCCGCCGCCGCGAGGTCCACGGGGGGCAGACCAGGAGAGAGAGGGGGGTTCTGCACTGGCAGGCGCCATCGGCCGCCAGCCTGGGACGGGGCCCAGAAGCCAGCGCCGCCTTGGCGAGCGAAGGCCTTCACTGGAAGGCCACCGAAACCTTGTGGCGGGCGCAGGAGCAACCCGCGAGCAAGCCAGAACCCTGCCAGAACGGGCCCGCTGAAACCAGGCCCAGAAGACACGGGCGCACGCCGCCTGGGGGGCAGCTGCCGCTTGCCTTCACGCGGCGCCCGGCCCACCCCCCTCTCGAGCTCAGACTGGCGCGGAAAAGCGCGACCCCGAACCAGCCAGAGCCCGGAGGGAGCGCTGGGACCACTGCCTGCGGCAGTGACCCAGGGGCAACTCGTCGCCCAGGTACTCCGCCGCGCAGGAGAAGAAGAGACCTGCGCGGCGGTGGCCACCACCAGCCCCTGGCGCCCCGGCCGCGCGCGCGCGAGGCGGGGTAGCAGGGGGCGAGCGGGGAGCATGACCTGAGGACCTGAGCGGGCGCACGCGGCGAGGAGAATAAAAAGAGACCCATCCAGCAATGTCGTGGCCGAGTCGAAGGGGAGCCCCTTCCTTTTGATACCTCCCCCGTCGGGGGGGGGTCCAAGGAGGAAGCAGGACGGCGGCCGATTTGAGAAAATATCAAGTATGTCCCCGTCGTTCCATGGCGTTGGCTCGGTAGATTCGCAATGTTTTCCCTGTAATGGTCAACATTGGTTCCCCAAGCTCCGCGAGCGATGGACACCGTGCTGCAGGCATTCAGTTGGGTGCGAACTCACCACGTTGATATACGTATTGTCGCGTGTGAGCAAATATCAACATAAATACATACATATACACATACATACATACATACATACATACATACATACATACATACATACATACATACATACATACATACATGCATGCATGCATGCATACATACATACATACATACATACATGCATACATACATACATGCATACATGCATACATACATACATACATACATACATACATACATGCATACATACATACAAACAAACAAACAAACAAACAAACAAACATGCATGCATATATACATGCATACATGCATACATGCATGCATGCATGCATACATGCATACATACATACATACATACATGCATGCATGCATGCGTGCATGCATGCATGCATACATACACACATACATACATACATACATACATACATACATACATGCATGCATGCATGCATGCATACATACATGCATGCATACATACATACATATACTTATATATACGTATGCATATGAATAAACGTTACATCTATATATATATATGCATACATGTGTAAAATAAAGTTTTAAAAACACCAAATAAAACATAACAAAACAAAAATAAACAACAATAACAACAAAAAAAACAAATGTGCGCGCTACGCGCGCGCGTAGAGTCTGTCAATATCGAAGACACCATCGTCATGTTTACGATTCTTACCATCATCCACCCTCATGACTGGCATGTAGGCTGGGACGCCACGAATGCGAGAATTGGGACGTCGGCGTCGACGGCGCCAGCTGCGTCGGCCTCGTCGGTGACGTCGTCGTCGTGGTCGCGTGATGGGTGGAGGTAAGGAGGGAGAGAAAGAAGGGGAGGGAGGTCGGGGCTCATTTGGGTGGCCTTGTGGGGTTCCTTGGCCGCGTGTAGCCCTCCTCTGGAGGGTTGAGGCTCGTCGTGGCGCCCCCTCGGGGTGTGTTGGGGCTCTCGCGTGGATGCCTCTTGTATGCGAGCGTCGGAAGCGGACCAGGCGACCATGCGAAGATCCGTGCCAGACCACTGGAATGCTGAGCTGTTTTGCCTGTGCGAGCTCCGTCGGAAAGCAGCTCGGAGCCCTTCTGGGCCGTCTCGGACGCCTCACGGGGCGGCAGCGAAGCCATGGAGGGCGGGCGGGGGCCGCTTCGAGGCCTCGTGTGCCTCAGCTGGGGCCCTCTTGGCGAGTCCAGGCTCGGTGGGGTGGCCGCCTCGGGGCCTTCTGGGCCGCGTTGGGCCCCTCCTCCTATGCTTAGCACGCTTGCCGTTTCACCCAATTGTCTAGTATGTCTCACAACTTCTGCCAACGCACCTATGTTGTGCATGGCGTCTGTCTGTCTGTCTGTCTGGCTGGGCCCCTCGTGGGCCGGTGCGGCGCCCTCTGGGGGCGTGTTGGGGCCCGCCTCTCAGGCCGCTTCGATGCAGCGGCGGGCGTGCTGGGGCCCACCTTGGGGCCGTGGGCCTCCTCGAGGGCCCCTTTGCCGCATGTCCAGACTCGTTTGGAGGGCCGCCCTGAGCCCTCTTGGGCGATGTGGGGCGCATAGTGAGCGTTTTCTTATATTCGGCGTTTCGACAGTGGGCGGAAGGGGGGGGGGGAGGGGGGGGGGGTCTGGCTCCGGACCTCTGCTTAGCGCGACTGCTTGCAAGAGTGCGTCCGATGGGGGAGGCTCCACCTGCTCGAAACAGGCGCCAAAAACAGCCAAGATCCATTCCATGGGGGAGGGGGGAGGGGGGGAGTGCGAGGACCCGCGCCAATCGGCAAAACTATGAACACGAAAACGATCACTTGATCATGTTTTTTGCTTGTTCTTCCAGATCGTCGCGAATTCATCCACCTGAGACTGAGACCCAACAAACAGAAAGGTTCCCAGAAATGTGATTGCGCTGGCCTGAACTCCACTCAGAGCTCGTCACCGTGAACGAAACCATCTGGTGCCACAATCGCTCTGACAGGGCTGTCATTCGCCACTGAACTGCGTAGCTGTTGCACTCATCAGTTCAGTGAAAAACTAGATGATTGCTATCACGTTAGATTATTGGATAGCCAGGCCGTGCCGGCAAGGCTGCAGCTCAACAGTCTCGCTCAGAACTCGTCTCCGTAGCCCTCCTCCTCGCCCTCCCCCTCGGCGGTTTCGATG